GGGGTGGTGGTGGCTGCCCTGGCCTGAAAACTGGAGCCCCGCTGCGATGTTCAACAGCTCGATGGAAATAAACGGGGGTCGCCCATGAAATCGCCGCCTCTCCAAGTGTTCAAAGCACGCTGCGAGCCTGTTATTTCCCCAGGAACTAACGGTAGCTGCAGGGCAGCTCCTCGCCTCCTTAAAATCATAAATGGGGTCCCTTAATCCTTAATTACTTTTCTGGTGGTGTTGGGCAGCTGACGCCCGCCGCTGTCAAGAGGCGTTTCGCTGCGGCTGGCTGTGTTTGAAAGGCAGAGGAGAGCTCCGGTGCGCATCTTACGTGTGCGTTTCTCTCCTTTTCTCTGGCAGGCGTTACCTGGAGTGGTTTCCCCCGTGTAGATCAGGGAAATCACAGACTCCGGTCCTTCCGTTCCACCTCTGCCTAAGCTTTGATCTCTTGTTTCAGTACAGGAGTTGAGGGGAGGAAAGACAGGAGGGAGAGGAGTCTTTCCAAGGTGAGGGGAAAGTTTTGCCCGTGGCCGATCCTGCGCCTACCCCAAGGGTTGCTAAATGAGTGACTGCAGGAAAACAAGACTCTTACGTGACTTACGCCAGCTCCTCTGGTCCAGGCTCTCCTGAGCGGTAAACACTCTGTCAGCCTCCCTGCGTATACGATCCCGTTGTCTTTCTCGTACGTGCATTTTTGGAACTATTCTTGGCGTCTGCAAACATGGGTCAGGCCTGTTGGCGTATTTACGTGTTTATTTAGAAAAATGGGTTTCCCCCGTCGCAATGAAATCGTCGTCCGGAGTTTAGTGGTCTCGGCAAGTAGACGGGGTGTGCTCGAGGGAATAAATTACCTGTCCTTGAGCACGTGCGGCTCATTGCACAAACACGGCCGGGTTTCTGAGCTGTGGAACTGACTGTTGAGCAACGTACTGGGAACGTCACTCGCTCCGAGTGACTTTCTCAAGTCATACGGAGGATTGTCACGAGCTGAATTTCGCAGATGGGGCTTCGAGCGAGCAGCTTGAAGGAATAAAGTGCAGCTAAAAGTAATCTCTCTCTAGCTCGGGTCTGAAGTGTGTGTGTGTGTTAAATATTTGCTTGCACGGGGATTTCTGTAGGTAGTGCTACAGGAACCCCATCTGGACCTGGGTTACGGTGCTCCCTCTTCGGTCGCGTCGTCTTGCTGCATCGGGAGGGGCCACCGAAGCGGTCTGCAACGCGCGTGCCTTTTTCTTTAGTACCCTTAGCGTGTTTAAGTCCTTTTTCTGGAACAGTTTCCAGACGTCGTTGGAAGCAGCTTCTTGTTTTTGCCATTTCCACGTAATCTGTTTCTTTGAAGGGGAGCGTTAGAGCCTCGGCGTTCCGAAGCACGTTAGGAGCCGTGTTACTTATGTAAATGATTTCCTGGGTAGGCAGCTCGTTTTCACGTGGCCGGTGACCTTCCTTGAAAGCCACTCTTCAACGGCAGAGATTATAAATTTGAAGAGCGGTTACAAGGCAGACAGTGTTTTTGAACTTTACAAAGACCTCTTGTTTGCATCTTTCATATACGTACGTAGATACTTGTGGAATACGTGTACTTCTAATTTACTTTGCGTGTCTAAAAAGATGCAGAAGCGCTAACGCTCGATAGTTTGGTGTTATTTTTCAAGAAGCCGCATTCTGATCAATGTGCGGTGAATAAATGGAGCTGTCTGCAGAGTTTGCCTTCCATAGTCCGCAAAGAAACATCGACCGACTCATTAAGGAGAATCCAATTAGCAGGAAAGAGAGGGATGGGAAAGGTGCAGGAGGCGACAGAACCGTCACGCAGGAGAGATCGCCTGCCGAATTAGCTGGCCCTACCTGGCAGGGTCACCTCGGCCCTCGGTTATTTCTTGTCTGACTGGTCCAGGACAAGGTCCGGGTGTGCTGGACCCTGCCCGTGTGCCAGCTACACGGAAGGAGAGCCGCGGCGAAACTCCGTGGAAAGGTTGGGATGGTCAAACAGCTCGAGCGTAGCACGGGGAGAGCGCATCAGAGTAAAGAACACGGGGATTGTTGCTCGGGGGGCGGGAGGGGGGGGGTGTTTTTCCCATCAGTCCTGGCACGGTTGGTAGCATCGCAGGACTTTGTCGTAGTTTGTCAGCCGGTGGATTGGGGAAACCTCTCCAGGCTTGCTGGCCGCAGAGAGCAGATGTACCCAGCTGCGGGGTAATGAGGTTACGCTGACGAATAACACGAGAAAAATGCTGCTGAAGTTTTACGATGTTGAGCTCTTTTTCTGAACGGCCAATGCGCTTTACGGTTCCCCCTCCTTTTTTAGCGCTTTGTTCTGTGTGTCATTGCTGCTCGCGTGGCCGTTAGGGGATGCCTTGACCACGTCTGTGCACGAGGAGCCGAGACGTGTTTTTACCTTGGTGCGGAAGCAAGTAGGTCAACGTCTAGTACGCGGTCACACGTACTGTCTCTCGACATACGTGTACGTACACGTATATCTTGCTGCAGTTGATCCTTCGAGGATGCCTTTTGAAAGGTCTGGCCATGCAGAGGTTCGTGGGTCCGTCGGAGATCGCTCACCTAAATCCTGCTTTTTCCAGCTAAATCCAGTGTTAAGGTAGGGAAGGCTTCGGGAGGTGCCTGTCCGGTTATCGGGGTGAAAATCCAGCGCGAGTGCAAAGGTCAGGGTGTAGACACCGTGTCTAGGAAACTTTCAGTTACAAATAAACTGTTAATAAACTTGGACCTAGAAGGTGAGGTGAGGGCCTCGTCGCTCTAGTGCCTTGGCTTATTCATTATCCGATAATGTTAAAAAAAAGAGAGAGAAAAAGAAGTCTCGCTAGTTATGACTCTCGGTTGAACGTGATGCGGGGTAGAATGTCCTGGTGTTATCGAGCACAAAGTTAATTGCCTTAATGGCAGTACGCTAAACCCTCCTCTGTTTAAGGAGACATCATCAGAAGTGCAGGAATTGCCCGCTTTGTTGAGCGAGAGGCTGCCTGTGACGATCTGATTCTGGTGAAGCGTGTGTTGATTTTAAAAAGGAGTATGATTCTGAGCCCTACCTAAAATAGTTGTTCAAATTATTAATACATGGCTTGCCGGGTCATTTCTGACAGGAAAACAGAGGCTGTGTGTCTCGTTCCCCCCCATTCTCTCCTGCTAAACCAAATACTGGAGTGCATCCATCTCTTCAGGAGGGTTGTTCACAGCCTTGTGTCAACAGAAGGAGCGCAAGAAGTCGCTGGTTTTGCTGCCTTGTTGTTCTCTTACAACATCTTTTTAACTCTTGCACGGAGACGGGGGAGGATTGCTGATTTATTGACGTGGTTTCAGCAGCGCGATTTGGCTGCGGCTCTCGCTGCAGAGGCCACGGTTTGCCACATAACGTTCCTTTGCGGAGAGGTGCTGCCACACCTTTGGAGCTGAGGTTTCTCCGTGTGCTTTTTTTAAAAAATCCTGTGACTTGGGCATAACGACAACAACAACAAAAACCCCCACCTGTGGGTGGGGTGCCGAAATCCCAAATCGGAGCAGGGGTTCGGGCTCTGTTTGTGCTTGAGGAGGCTGATCCTTTCCGATGGAGGAGGACGGGGGGATGCCCACGCTTGAGCACGTTTGCCCTTGGTTGGTTCGGGCAGATCTAATGCTTTCAGACGATGAGCCCTTTTTTTAAAAGGAGCCGACTAAATATCGTGTAACGTGCTTGCTAAACACCGGGCTGAGCTGCTAGGGCAGCTAGGGAAGCGGTGCTTGGTGAACGATGGCTGCGTGTGGTTATCGTAACGTGGAAATCCATTCGGGCGGTCGAGTTGTCCGTGTCTGGCTTTCCCCGTTCAGCTTTGAACGGGGGTGAGAGTTTAGAAACGCAGACCTTTGGCGGGAACGAGGTGGGGTTGCTGCCCGCTGTCGCCGCGCCGTTTCTGCCCCGTTGCTCCACGAGTCGGGACACGGTCCTGCCGCACGCTTCATTTCGACGGCCTGACCTGGCGGGTTGGGTGTTCGGGGAATGACTTTGCGCCGTGTTTGCTCAGTACCGACGAGCAGACTGGAGCGTCAGGACGGCTTCTAACTTTTTATTTGATCCTACAGATACGTGGGGAACCTGTCAAGGGACGTGACCGAAGCTCTGATCCTCCAGCTGTTCAGCCAGATCGGACCATGCAAAAACTGCAAAATGATAATGGATGTAAGAGCCTTCACCTAGTGATTTTCGTGTTTCTCGTAGCTAATGGCTTTGGGCCGTACTTGCGTGTTTCGGAATTCCACTGGAAATACGGCGCGACCGCGTTAAAGGGTCTGGAGAACAAGTCTGATGAGGAGTGGCTGAGGGAACTGGGGTTGTTCAGCCTGGAGAAAAGGAGGCTGAGGGGAGACCTCATCGCTCTCTACAACTCCCTGAAAGGAGGTTGTAGCGAGGTGGGGTCGGTCTCTTCTCCCAAGGAACAAGCGATAGGACGAGAGGAAACGGCCTCAAGTTGCGCCAGGGGAGGTTTAGATTGGACGTGAGGAAAAATGTCTTTACTGAAAGAGTGGTGAAACATTGGGACAGGCTGCCCAGGGAAGTGGTGGAGTCCCCATCCCTGGAGGTATTTAAAAGACGTGTAGATGAGGCGCTCAGGGACATGGTTTAGTGGACATGGGGGTGTAGGGTTGACGGTTGGACTTGATGATCTTAGAGGTCTTTTCCAACCTCAATGATTCGATGATTCTATAATAAGGCTGGAGATCACAGTCGTGTACTTTTGGCATCATTTCTGCCTCGTGCCCGGTGTTAAATCGAAGGGTGGGTGGGTATTGCGAGAGGGAGCGAACGGGGTGGGGGGGGTGTTGTAGACGAGATGAGAAAAGTTCTTCCTTGCCGTAATTTTACCTTTCTAAAGCGGAACTGAAACCCCCCAGAGGGTTGTTAACGCGCTGACTGCGGTCTCAGTGCAGAGTAAAAAAGCCTATCCATTTTGAGACATTTAGGCGTAACGAATAAGGAGCTGAGTATAATGGCGAGGGCACAGTTTGAAGAGGTTTGTGTCAGCAATCCCTTGTTTCTTTCTTTTCTCAGACAGCTGGAAATGATCCGTACTGTTTTGTGGAGTTCTATGAGCACCGGCATGCGGCTGCGGCACTGGCTGCTATGAATGGCCGGAAGATAATGGGTAAGGTAAGCTGTCATGTCTACAGGGTGAGCTGGAGTTGAAAAACAGGCTGTCTCAGGTGGGGCGGGTGAAATATCCATGGGTGAAATACCGCTTGAGACGAAGTGGATACGCTGCGAAACGTTAGACACTTCGTTTGGACGGAGGTCTTGACGTGACACGGCTAACAAGAAGAGCTGTTTTGACTGTTGTAGGAAGAACCCGGAGGGAGGTGGGGGTGTGGAACCGGGGAGGGCTCAGAGACAGCGGGCGTAAGGAATATTTTAACTCTGCTGACCTTATCAGGTCTCTCTCCTCCCCACCCCTGCAAAAAAACCCAACCAAACCAACCCAAAAACTCCCAGAGCAGGTCTGTTTACCGTCTTTGCTCTTAACCAGCGGAACGCAGCTTGGAAGAACGAACCCTCTCCCGAGCAATGTGTCTTAAACTGGAGCTTTCACCCCAAACTTCCACGTCTGGTGCCCCTGTAGTGTCAAGAGTTAAATGCTGGAGGTATCTGAGCTTAGTTGGGATTTGCTCGGTCTAACGTGAGCGACTAACGTTTGCAGGAGGTCAAAGTGAACTGGGCGACGACCCCCAGCAGCCAGAAGAAAGATACCAGCAGTAAGTGTCGCTTATGCTTTGAGTACGCGTTTGATTTGTACAAGTAGTTTTTAAACATAAAGAGTAAGCATCGTACAATTATATGCAGTAATGTTTTGATCGTAATCCTAAGATATTATTTAATGTGTTTGTGTTAATAAACTTAAGAACAAATCTAATCTTTGTCATCAGGTAGTACCGTTGTCAACACACAGCGTTCACAAGGTAATTGTATCTTCTTAAACATAAAATGAAATCTCTCAAGGGTATTCACTAACCACCTGCAGCTATGTATGGGGTTTTGTTCGTTACGAATTTATTTTTTATGGAAAGACTTCCCTTTCGTTTCCCTGTAGCGTCAGAAAGTGATCTAGTGTCCACTCTTTGGTTCTGGTGCTAATCTCCAGCTGTTTGTTACGAGTGCACTTGTAAAAAAAAACCAAACCAAAACCAAAAGCCCCAAACCCCCTTGTCCCCTGCTATCGAGGCAGAATAGTTGGCTCCCTGTGAGGCTGCAGCACGCGCCGCTTCAGGCAGATTCCTTGGGAGTTATCTAGACCGTTTCCCAAACCGGGCTCCGTCGCTCCCGGCGAGCCTACGGATTGCTGCTGTTCTCGGCAAGCTTTGAATTTCTGTAGGCCAGTGGGGCTAAACTACATCAGCGTCCGACTGGACTCGAGACTTTCGTACCTGCTGTAGTACAAATAAGTCTGTATATTGCTAGGACGGCGCGTGACACGTTGTAGTGGAAAACTCCTTAGACACAGGACTTTTGTCTCTCTTTGGTGCGTGTTTTTTATGGCTCTGGTATGAATTGAAGGGATTACTGTTTCCGTTCTGTTGCCTTCAGTCTTAGTTCACTTGCACATGGATTCACACACACTGAATTCTCACGGATTCACATGGTGTAGTGGCTGGGCCACCAAAACTGTTGGCTTTTGGGAACTCAAATGCTTTAACAGCCAAACTGTTGCAATGCAAGGTATTTTTTTGATTTGTTCTTCACGACCCACGGTGTTAAACCGGCCACCGTGGCTGGGTTCCAGATAACGTCCTGCTCTAGAGTGAGTGCTGCCCTGCGTTTCTTGAATCTGCTAGACGTTTCGGTCGGTCAGATTTTTGAATCGCTAGCGGTCTCCTCCCGTGTCGAAGCTTAACACTAGCACACGGAGAGGAAGGCTTTCGTGTGGTCTTGGCACATTAAGTAAATAGTTTTAGGGCTTTGTACGGCAAATGCTGACTGGTCTTAAAAGCAGTTTGTAAAATACAGAACGTAAGTGCCGTGTGTCACTGTAGTATCCTTAAAATCGCTGCCTCTGTAGCGCTGCCAAGCAAAGGGTCTGTTACGAACAGCAGTAAATTCTGCTTCGTAGTAAACTCTAGTCTTCATGTAGTTTTTAATAATAGCTGGAAAGCCGAGATTGCGATGCTCTGTGTGCGCGCGCGCGCGCGTGTTCAGGGGTCGTCTTCAAACATTAAGATCCTTTTTTCTCTTTTTCCCAAAAAGACCATTTCCATGTCTTTGTCGGAGACCTCAGTCCAGAAATTACAACTGAAGATATAAAAGCAGCTTTTGCGCCATTCGGAAGAATATCGTAAGTAATTTCCTAGGGCAAATAAACTAAAAGTTATCTCTCCTAAATGGAGGCAGCCTTATGTTTCAGTAAGTAAAAAAATGAGAGTTGTGGCAGTGCAGGAATATACATTCATCTGTTCATGCAGCGACGTGAGTCTGAACGGTCGGGCATTAAGCAGGGATGTGTAAGCCGATTCCTTTATAGTAGCTTGTTCTGCTTTCCTAGAAAAGTTGCATCCAACTTGCTTTGGCTTTATACCCCTTGCCTCGTTTGGCAAGGCAACGCCGGAAAAAAAATTGACCCCTAAACCCGGGGTTTGCATTTCGCTGGCCCTCCCAGCCGTCAGATCACCATCACGCTGTACAGTTTGTGACCGAGTCCGTTTGCACGTCCACGTCTTGGGAGGCTTTGGATTTTTTTTTTTTGTTAGCCGTGGTCTGCCGGCCACCGGTAGCCAATGTTTTTTGGCAGTTAAAATTCCCATTTCCCACAAAATGAACCTTTTTTAGCACAAGACTCGTTGGGGCACCCGGAGGCTGCAGCTAGAGCGGCCTCGAAGCGTTTGGCGCTGGGTCAGCATAAGCCCTTGACCCGAAGGGCTCGGCCAAAACCACGGGGCATCTCGGGTCAAGGAGTTGCACTCATCCCAGCGGTGCAGAGCCATGGTGTAACAAGCGAACGTGTTACAAACGGGGAGCGGTGCTCGCAGGTCTCCACCTGCCAGTTTGTTGTATTCAGGGTGTAGCAGAGTAAGGAGCGGTTCGTTCATTCCATCCTCCAAATGTAAACCATTAATTTTCCTTGTAGTGTTGTCTGTACTGGACATTGAAGTTTCTTGATGGTGATGTAAGAGAACATAGAGTGCTTTGGAGTGTTGTGTAGTGAAGCATTTAATTGAAGTAAGTTTGTTTTTTGTTTTTTTTTTTCCCCCTCAGAGTCCAGTGTATTTACTCTTTTAATGCCAGCTTGATTTCCTCTTATGATAAGGTTTAAAAAAAAAAAAACCAACAAAACTATGTGATCCGAATGTGACTTGCTTCAGACGACTGTAATGCTTGACTGCGTCTTTTGTAACTGTCATCTAGGAAACACAGAGGGTCGGACTCCTAAGGAGAGTCGATTTATCCTCTGGCCAGATGTGGTCTGGATGGAAGGGACGAGGGACTCTAAAGTAGCTCTGAACTGCTGGAGTGAGCGCGAAAGGGAGGCAGTAATAGACGGCCGCGTCGGTGTGACTGCGAGGGAGCTGGGAAAGAGAGTTTTCCCCTAGCCGAGTCAGCGCTGGGTCTCTGAGGTGACCGTTCGACGGACAGTCGCCTTTAACAAACGACACCCCCCACTCCCCCCCCCCCCCCCCCCCAAAAACAAC